CTTGACCCCACGGTCAACGACCTTCGGTCGTCTGGGGTCAAGGTCTCCTCATTCCTCATGCTCTGCACAGCTCTGTCATTTATACACTACTTGTAAATAAAGGTTCTTCCCCGCTGATTTTAGGAGACGTGGAGATGGGATGGGTTGCCTTGACAGGGGTTTCGGTAGATAGTGGAGAGGAATGGGAAACGGCCCAATACCGAAAGGTGGAGGGGCGGGCTTCGGCCCTTAAATTGATCGTGTCCCTATCCACTACTCGTTGCAGTCTAGGCGTTGAGGAGAGTGGACGTGTCTGTGAAAGAGCTCCTGAAAGTAGGCGTGGCAACAAGAGTGGGAGGAAAAGAGAAGTGGATTGGAGAGTAGGCGTGGCCGAGTTAAGTGGTGGGAGTGAAGTGGTGGAAGTGTGGTGGAAAAGGTTAGGAGGTGACGTCAGAGGATAGACAAAGACAACAAGTGAGAACAAAGAGTGACAGAAAGCAAGATAGCCGTTGTGGGTCCTGGGGCCGACAGCGGCTTTTTTTATGGGAAAATTTTAGACGGTAGTTTTCGACAAAGTTTCTAATAGACATAGACTAAGAACGAAAAAAGTGAAACGAGTGAAAAAAGCGCGATGGAAGGCGTTGTCGAAGGAAAAAAGTGCAAAAGAGGGTGTGGTAGACAAGAATTTAGCGGAAAGACAAGAAAATGTAGAGGAACTAATTGCTGGAAAGTTCTGGAGAGAGTCCGTAAAGTTAATAGGAGAAGAAGAATTAGAGATAGAGTCGGATGGCACAGATGGTGAAGAAGAGAAGGAAGGAGCCAGTGGAGGTCAAGAGAGAGAAGGAGATAGAGTTGGGCAGAAGGAGAAGAAGAAAGTTGAGAGTGAACTTTTCAAGAAATCAAATGAAGAAATTGATTTGGATAAGAAAGATGGTAAGAAGAAAAGGAAGATATGAGAAGAAGAGATGTTGAGAGAGGAAGCGATGAAAAAGAATGCGAAAGAGGAAAAAAAGAGAGAACAAAAAGTAAGGAAAGAAAGAGAAAAGAGAGAAGATGAAGAGGAGATAGAAAAAAGGAAACAACGCGAAGAAGTTAGACTGTTAGAAGATACGAAGAAGACAGTAAGAGAGAATATGGAGGAAATAAGAAGGCAAGTGGAAATAGTGATGACAGCAGCAAATAAGGAGTCGGGAAGTAAACTCTCATTTAATAGAGGCGACCAAACGGCGGTTAACGTAGCGTTGGGAGTAATACAAGGTGAATGTATGGGCTTTCTCGTGAAACAAGCCGAGCTAATGGAAGGGAAAAGTGAATGGCAGAGGAAGAACGAAAAGTTAAAAGAGGAAGAGGATAGATGGAAGAAGGAATGCCAAAGATTGGAGGAGGAGAGGAAGGTTTTGGAGAAGAAAAATAGAGAGCTAGTGAGGAAGAACAGGGAGCTAGAAGAAGAATTGGATAGGGCTAAAGAGCGGAGAGGAAGTCAGAGCGGAAGCCCGGAGGGGAGAGAGCAGGCTACAGAGGTGAGGCAAACGAATGAGAGAGCTGTGAAAGAGGTGAGTGTAAGGTATGTAGGAGTGAGGAATGTAGAGAATGAAAGGGAAGAATTGAGTGAGGAAGAGAGTGAGAATGAAGGGGAATTGTATGCTCAGGTAGCAAGAAGAGGGACGAGAGAAAGGGGGAGAGGTGTGAGAGGAATGAGAGGTAGAATGGAGAGTGGAAGAGGAAGGACGCAGAGAGGGAGAGTATATGAAGGAGGGGAGGGCTGGTCCACCCCCCCAAAAAATTTGGAATTGATAGTGACTGGAGAAAATGTAAATGATGGAAGGAAGTTGGCTGAGCATCTAGCGAAGAGAATAGACATGAGAGAGAATGGAGGTGCGCCAAGAGCAGTGAGGGTGATGAGGGAGGGGAGATTGTGCATAGTAGCAAAGAGCGAAGAACAGAGGGCAAGAATAGAGGAGCAGATGAAGGGATTGAACGGTATAGATGTGAGGAAGGGAAGGACAAGGGACCCCATGATACTGGTGTCAGGGGTTCCGGTGGCCGTAGAGGAAAGAGAGTTGCTAGAAGCGTTAAGGAGTGAGAATGAGGAATTGAGGGAGGGAGGAATGAGGATAATTAAAAAATATCAGTGTCGCAACCCGTGGAAGAGGAATTGGGTTGTACAGATGAAGGCAAAAGGGTTCAGAGAGGTAATTAGGAAAGAAAGAGTGAATGTGTTGAATGAGAGCTTGTATGTAGAAGAGTATGTGGGGACAATGATCTGTTTCAAGTGTTGTGGGTTTGGACATATGGCGGGAGGATGTAAGGAAAGGTTGGCGTGTTTCGAATGTGGAGGGGAGCATGAGGCGAGAGAATGTAGGAGCGAAAGGAGGGAGTGTGTGAACTGCGCCAGGATGTTCAAAAGAAAGGAGGAACATGGAGCGAAAGATGCGGCCTGTCCGGCATATAAGGTGAATTTGGACCTATCAAGGAGGTACATTAACTACAATGTCTAGGTGCAAATTCTTGCAATTAAATATGGGTAGGGGAAGGGAGGCGGGAGTTTTGTTGAACGAAAAGGTAAGAAGGGAGAAACCGGATGTGGTTATGATTCAAGAACCATACCACAGGTATGCGGCTCCCCAGGGATACAGGAAGTATGGAGAGAGATAGAATAAGGTGCTAACGTTGGTGAATGCGAGATGGATGAATGTCATGGCGTATAAGGAATTGAGTAATGAGAATGTGATGGTTTTGAGAATAGAGGATGTGGTGGTTGTAAATGTATATGATGAGCCGGAGAGGGAAAGAGGAGTAAGAGAGAGCAAGTTTTTAAGATACGCAGATGAGTGGCGGAATATAGGAGACAAGTATGTGATTGCAGGGGATATGAATGCCAAGAATGTGATATGGGGAGGNTGGAGAAGAAAAATAGAGAGCTAGTGATGAAGAACAGGGAGCTCGAAGAAGAAGTGGTTAGAGCTAAAGAGCGGATAGAAGGTCGGAGCAGAACCCCGGAGATGGGAGAGCAGGCTATAGAATTTAGTAGAGTAGAAAAGAGATGTAGAGAGCTGGAAGATGAAAATATAAAATTAAGGAGTAGGGAGGACCCCGGACCGGGAACTGGAAGTCCGGAGGTGGAGGTGAGACAGGTGAGTGAGAGCGAGAGCAGGAGTGTAGTGGAGGAAAATATGAGAGGAGAGGGATTGAATGAGTGTAGTGAGAGTGAGGAAGAGAGAGAATCGTATGTGAGAGCAGCGAGAGGTGGAATGAGAGGAAGAGGACGGGGTAGAGGAGCGAGAGGAGTAGTGAGAAGCGTCCAGAGAAGGAAGCCAGAGAGTAAATGATGGTGGACAGGGGTGGAGTACCCCACCTAGAACGGTAGAATTGATAGTGGCAAAAGCGGAGGAAACAGATGGAAGGAGATTGGCCCAGGAGCTGGTAAAAAAAGTGAATGTGAGTGGGATTGGAGGTATACCTAAGGCTGTGAGGGTCATACGGGATGGCAGATTGTGCATCGTAGCAAAAGATGAAGAGCAAGGAAGAAAGTTGATGGAGGAGGTAGGGAAGATTGGGAGGGTAGATGCGAGGATGGCCAGGTCACAGGACCCTATGTTGAGAATTTCGGGAGTGAGTGTGGAGGTATCTGAAAAGGAATTGATGGAAGAAATAATGAAAGAATGTGAAGGGGTAGACATGAGGGAAATGAAAGTAATCAGGAAATTTCAATGTCGTAACCCGTGGAAACAAAATTGGATAGTGAGGCTACCAGGCTATATATTACGCCGCGGGGTTATAGAAGGTACGGTGAGAGGATAAATAAAGTTCTGACTTTGGTGGATACAAGGTGGGAGAATGTTATGGCTAGAAGAGATTTGGGTAGTGAGAATGTGGTGGTGATAAGAATAGAGGGAAGAATACCGGTGACAGTTATAAATGTTTATGACGAGCCGGAAGGTGACAGGAAAATAGTGGGGAGATTTGAGATGAATAGTAACGAATGGGCGAATATAAGAGGGAATGTGGTGATAGCGGGGGATGTAAATGCGAAGAATAGTGTATGGGGGGCGAGGTGACAAACAGAAGGGGGAGAATGGTTGAGGAATGGGCAATGGCAAACGGTTTTGTGATTGAAAATGAACCAGAGGACCCCCCTAGCTTTTTTACGGTTAGGGGGAGAGCCTGGTTAGATGTAATTCTAGTAAAGGGACTTAGAGTAAATGAGAGAAGGGTACATGAGGACGATGAGTCGCTGAGCGACCATAGGTACGTGTCCTATACGGTGAAGTTATCGATGGGAAACAACCAAAGGAGAAAGGGTTATGAAATAGCGGAAGGGAACAAGGTTGAATTCGTGGATAGGAATAGAGAGTGCTTGAGGTCGAGGGTTAGGAGAGAGGATGAAGGAGTGGAGGAGAGGGCAAAATGGTTGCAGGAGACGTGCATGAGAGTGTGTAGGAAGGTATTGCGGAGGAGTCAGGAGAGAGGGGGAATGGTGGAATGGAAAATTAGAGAGGTTGAAGAGAGAGGTGGCCAGGGCGAGAAGAGATTTCCAGAGTAGTAGAGACGAGGAAAGAGAGAGGAGGAAAGAGATACAGTGAGAAAATTAGGGAATATAAGAGATCAAGATGGAAAAGAATAAAAGTATAGAGGAGGATTTGGAGGAGTTATCGCATGACCCATGGAAGGTGATGGGGAAATGGGTGAGAGGAGGAAGAGTGGATTTAGGAAAGTACAATGTAGAGAAGAGAATGGGGACTATACGGACTAGAGAGGAAACGTCGGTGCTGCTAGTGAGGAAATATTTCCCTAGCGACATAAGAGAAGAAGACACGGAGTGGCAGGCGGAGATAAGAAGAAGATATGACGAACTGGGAGAGAGAGTGGAGGATGAGGAAGAAATGGTGGAGAGAGTGAGTAGAAGTGAGTTGAAAGGAGTTGTTTGGTCGATGAAGAGGAAAATGGCAACGAGTGAGGACGGTATTCCCAATGAATGAATGTATGGTATGGGTGGAGGAAGCAATAGGTGAGTGGTGGTGTGAGTTGGTGAATGAGTGTCTGAGTGAAGGAAAGTTTCCGAGTGTGTGGAAGAGGGCGAACGTGATTTGGGTGCCGAAGGGAAGCGGTGGAGTGAGGCCGATATCCCTGCTTCCGGCACTGGGGAAGGTACTGGATCGGATATTGGCGGGGAGGTTGGCCCACTTCATGGAAGCGGAAGGGATGTTCTCGAGTAGACAGTATGGATTTAGGTCTGGAAGGGACACCACTGTCGCGGCCGGAGCGCTGGTGGGAGATTTGGCGCGGAACAGGAGGGAAGGTCGCCACTCACTGGTGGTCGCGCTGGATCTCTCGAACGCCTTCGGCACGGCGTGGGGCCCGGCGGTGGTAGAAAGCATGAGGAAGAGTGTTGTCGGAGTATGAGAATGATAGCACGCTTCCTGGAGGATAGTGATTGAAGTGGATGGAGTTGAATGGATGATGGAAAAGGATTGTCCCCAGGGGTCTAGCCTGGGGCCAACCCTGTGGTTGATTCTGATGGAAGACTGGTTTGAGTGTATGGAGGAGATGGCAGAGATGGGAGTGACGGCGCAGGCGTACGCGGACGATCAAGTGTTGATAGTGTTCGGTACGTCTGCGAGAAGAGTGGAGAGGATGTGGGAGAGAGTCTGGGACAAAAGCGAGAGTTGGGCGTTAGAAAGGAAGCTAGCATATAACAAAGGCAAGACGGAGTCTATGTTTGTGTGTGCGAGGGGGAGAGTGAGGGAGCCAGTGTTAAGTATGGGAGATGTTAGGATAGAGGTAGGAGAAAGGATTAAGTATTTGGGGATAGTAGTGGACGTGAAAGGACTTTGGATTGATCACGTGAAAGAGATCAGACGGAAAGTGGGAAGCGTCGGTAGTAAGTTTATGGCGTTGGGACGGAAGAAATGGGGGAATAAGAGCCGAGTATTAAAAACACTTTATGAAAGAGCGATACTGCCTATAATCCTGTACGAGGTAGATATATGGGGAGGTAGGACGAGATACATTAGAATAAAGAAGCAACTTAGGGCAATTGAGAGGCCCTTTGTGAGGGCCATAACGGCGGCGTATGCCACGGCACCGACGGCAGCGCTGTCGGTGCTGGTGGGATGCGAGCCGCTAGAGGTAAGGGCAGGGGTCCTGTATGATGCAGGTAATGTGTGGAGAGAAGGGATAGCAGAGGGGAAGTAAAATTAGGGGATAGACTACATCCGGCCTTTTGGGGTTGGGATGTGACGGGAGCAGGACAGGTCGAAGGAAGAATGTTTGAGATTTGGGTGGATGGTGTTATGAAAGATGAGGAGAGAAAGGGAGATGGATGTGTTCAGAATAGGGATGGCAGGTGGAGGGGAAGAGTGAAAGTAGTGGAAGGTAATGTTGGAGTGAGTTAGAGGAGATGGCGGTGTTAGAGGGAGTGAGATGGGGAGGTGAGATGGCGTCGGCAGGGGATATGGTAAGGATATTCTCGGACTCGAGAGGGACAGTAAATATGATTGCTAGTTTCTTGCCGAAAAGAAAGGGCATGCACATGATACAGAAGGAATTGGTAGCGAATTTGAGTAGAGGGATAAAGACAGTAGTGAAATGGGAAAAGAGAGGAAGTGAAGGAAATAGGAAAGTCGAAAGTTGGATAAAAGATGAAATAAATAGAGGAATGGAAAGAGAGGTGGTGAATGTGACGAGGAAAAGGGAGATAAATGCATGGATGGTCGGGGAGATCCGGTAGCGGGACATGTCCTGGTGCAAATGGTCCCCGGACATGGAAATTTCTCGGCCAGCCTGGGGAGATTCGGCCTGAGAGAGGGAGATACAGAATGTGAGTGTGAAGATGGCGAGGAGAGTGCTAGGCATTTGATGTTGGAATGTAGGCTGGAAAAGTGTGTTGTAGCGAGGAGGGACTTTAAGAACAAGTATGGAGTGTGTCCGCCTCTGCCTCCGGACAGAGGGGGTGCGATGGTCCAGGACCTTAAGAAATGGGCTAAAGCTATAGTGCCTGAAGTAAACAGGGGAATAAATTTGATAGAGCAAGACGATTAATATTCGGAATTGTACATATAGTTTTAGGATGTAAATATGTNTAACGTTGGTGAATGCGAGATGGATGAATGTTATTGCGTATAAAGAGTTGAGTAATGAGAATGTGATGGTTTTGAGAATAGAGGATGTGGTGGTTGTAAACGTGTATGATGAGCCGGAGAGGGAAAGAGGAGTAAGAGAGAGCAAGTTTTTAAGATACGCAGATGAGTGGCGGAATATAGGAGACAAGTATGTGATTGCAGGGGATATGAATGCTAAGAATGTGATGTGGGGGGGTGAGGTGACAAGTGAGAGGGGAATGTTATTGGACTTTGACGAATGGATTTGGGATAGAAAATGAGCCGGAGGATCCACCCAGCTTTTGGACTGTGAGGGCCCAGGGATGGATAGACCTAGTATTGGGGAAGGGGGTTAGGATATTGGACAGGAGAGTGGAAGAGGAAGAATCACTAAGTGA